AATGAATAGTTTGTTTCAACATTCATGTCCTCTTTTTAAAACAAAATTACCAATATTTTACTTTGATTATAAAGTAGTAATTAAATTTTACCAAACATCTACTTATTTATGTATTAAACTTGATATTCAATTATAATTTCAAATGACAAGAATCATTATCTCTTGACCTTAAATGAACATCTTCATAATGAAAATAAAAGATTTGTTTGGATTTGCCCCCAAATGCCCTGATACGGCCGAGAGTGGGGAGAGTCCGCTCTCCCTCTCGAAATGCTCTCACACGGCCACGCGTATATACCCTCTGTCAGGGAAGTCCTACTCACTGCCTTCTCACACCACGGGTGTTGTTTACGAAAATGAGAGGACGAAAAGCGAATGTCTGGAGCTTTAACCCGATTCCAAACTAATGGTGCACATGGGCTCCAGTATCCTGCGGGAACAAATGGCGTATGAACCAATTGTTGGTCACCGGCTTCCATGGGACTGCATCTCCTTACGATGCTCCACTGCTTTGTGGATCAGACCCTCAGGTGTTGAAATAATAATAATCCAATTAGTATTCAATAGACGTTTTTTTCCAGAAACATCTAGAAAGTGAAAAGTCACATGTGAATGATTACTTATACTGCTATGTTATATCCTAGTGAAGATTAAATTACGAGTAACTTCCGAGAACGATTAGTGGACTAATATTATCTATATATATATTCTTATAGTGTTACTACTCAGTAATTAGATTATGTATATCTACATTCTCCTTATAATAACTGTTTTGACTTATAATTTATTATTATACGATTTACTGTTCTTAAGTTATGTTCAGCTTATTGATTACCTTCTCCCACGTTCACAGCCCATTTTATTGGCTTGATCATGTATAAATGTTATTTCCTATTTTATGGTGTGATGCAATCTGTTTGGTTGATATATAAGCCCAGTATGTCTGAAATAAATGATTCTCATAATGGAAGCCGTTATTGGTATTCTGAACTCAAATGAACGGCTAGGCAAGTAAAGGACCAATAATGACACTAGGCTGCTCATATCGGTCGAGCGTCATTAGTTTGGCACAATACTAAGATTGCATAAGTCGTATTTCGATTGGCGAATAAATCACGTAATACTAGCTGGGCTTAAAGTCACATTATGCTACTATGTTTAGTAGCGTTCCAAAAGAAGAGTTTAGGAAACTGAATCAACAGTTCAATTAAAAGACTTATCAATTTGTAATTTACTATTAATGTAGATTTTTGATTATATTTGTTATAATGAATATTGAATCATCTTTAGTCTGATAGCTTTAATCTACAAAAGTTAACTGGAATTATGTAACTATTTAAACTACACAGTTTTATGTTAGCTTTATCATCTAATAACTTTTTAGTTTGGCTCACTCTAACCAAGTAACTATATCGTAGGTTCTCGTCAGCTGCTTACAACCTGTGATATTTAAAAGATAATAATTACATAATGGGTTTAAATTGCTAACTGAATATTGTAAATATATACCTAATGTGAGAGAATATTCTACAACATTAATTGTGACAACAGTTCAAAAGTGGATTAGAAACAATCGATTATATAATGAATAACATTGATAGGAGTGTAGTGAGTAGAGTTCAGTTGAAAGATTGTTAATCTGAAAGATAGTTGAAAAAATAAAATAGAGTCAATGATGTAATAAATGCAAAATAAAGAAAAAAAAGAAAACAGTTTTTTATGGTGTAGTGGAGGTATATATTTGTCACCAGGGCAAGGAAAGATTAACCACCGTCTCCTTTTGAATACATGTTATTCATTATGTATTCGATTGTTTCTAATCCACTTTTGAACTGTTGTCACAATTAATGTTGTAGAATATTCTCTCACATTAAGTATATATTTACAATATTCAGTAAGCAATTTAAACGCATTATGTAATTATGATTTTTAAATATCACAGGTTGTAAGCAGCTGACGAGAACCAGACGAAATAAAAATGAATTCATGCTATTCTGCTAGAATCTTTGTTCTCGTTCTTTTCAAAATGATAAAGGGAACTATGTGTATGAAAAATCAAGCAACTATACTTTTCTATTGGCTTAATATATTCTGTATTGAACTGTTACCAGTAAAAATTTATATTTAAAAGTATAGATTGAAAAAGAACAATCAGGACAATCAGGACCAAGCTACAGTGCATGACAGTTTCATGCCACCGATTTATTAATCAACATCAGATATCACTGACCTTGACGATTTACCATAAATAGTCTTGTGAACATTCCTCCATGGTAAATATATATTGAAGATAATATATAAATTAGATAGGATTCAGTGTTGTTTCACTAACCCCACATTATTATTAAATGTTTATCATCGTTATTAATTCATTTTGTGTTTATTACCCTCTATGAACTCCACTTGTTAAATACAATCTAAGTTAGTCTACAGATAAATATACTTTTGATCATAACTCCTTGTAGAGTACAACAATTAATATATACATTCTTGAACTTTCAACTTCATTACCACGATGACAATAAGAACTGTAACAGTATTGGTAGCATTAAATTAAAAAGCTAGTGTTCTGATTTAGTCATCACAACTGACTAAATATGTACAAGCTTATCGTCGTTAATTATAATAAGTATGAATGCAAATAATTGTATTAGAATGATTTGCACACTTGTCACATCTGTTCCGATATAGTATCACATAAAATACAAGGTCGCCTCAAATGCATCAGACACACAATAGGAATAAATCTATTATACATAATTCAGAGCATAGAATTCGTATTACAATACTTTTAAAAGTTAAGGATCCAGAAATATTTACATGTTGAAAATTGAAATGTCAAAATCTTTACAATATTAAAGTTCTCGTTTAATAAATTATTCAGTTACATAGTTTCTTAAACTCATAATTAAATCTATTCTTAACGAGTAGTTAAAATGAGAACAGTACCCATACAAATGGGAGCCTGGTTCAAATATCTTCGATTATAATAGTTAAGATTATGATTCAATTGAAGCTAGACCACCATGGAGAACCTGGAATCACTGGACGACCGTTTCGTCCCATTGTGGGACTCATCAACAGTGCTCATCCACGATCTCGCCTCGTGAGATTCGAACCCAGGACCTATCAGTCTCGCGGGATCAGGATACAGCAGTCCCATAATGGAACGAAACGGCCGTCCAGTGCTTCCAGGTTTTCCATTGTGGTCTAGCTTCAAATGACTCATGATCTCAACCATTGAAATTACTATAATATGCACAAAAACCCTCTTGATATCTTATATTAGTTTACTTTGAATTATGCTACATATTAATAAATAGATATTACAATAACGAAAATCAAAAAGATACCGACCGAAGGAAACTTAAATCAAAGTATAAAACTGTAGAGAATGTTTTACTATTAGATAGATTAACTTCACTTTTTATAAGAAATAGATACATCTTCTATTTCTAGTAAAGCAATATATCCTGTTTGATTTTCAAAGCCAAATCAATCAAAACTAAAGTTAGAATAGATTCATTTTAAAAGTTCAAATCATTGCGACCATATTAATGGAATGCTTTAATCAAAAGTATCTCTTACTTGATTATGAACATTTTGTGATTCAATGATTATTGCATCGCCACACAAATACCAAACTGTATTCATCATTGTATTAAATCTGACTAACTTTTACACAAAAAGTGATTAAAACTATCCAATATCGGTGAGATTATGTACGACCTTTCAACGATACTAAGGTGATCTTGAGGGTGTTCACCTAATAAATAGGACAAAATGAGGATGATAAACCAGAGTGACGAATTAGAGTTCTCATTTACAGTTGATGGTTAAGGTTAGGAATTTACATTTAGAGTTTTCATCAGGAACCGATATTAGTTAATAATGACAAAACTCTATTTAGCCAAATGGATGGCTCAATTTTGTGACAAAATCCGAGACTTATTATCATATATCTGATTGATTCGTCCATAAATTATAGTCTCACCCCTAATATCTAGTATACGATGTGAATCTTTCAAACACAGTAAGCATTTTATAACTGTTTATGATCACTTAGTGTGTAAATGGATGGCAAATCAATTGATGAAATGGTGAAACTTCATCAGTTGAGATGGCTGGGACACGTGTTACGTATGCCCAATGACCGACTGCCTCGACGTGCGATGTTCAGTGGTATAGGAGTAGGTTGGAAGAAAGCTAGGGGCGGCCAGACCAAAACATGGCACAAGTCCATGAAGTCACTGACAAGTGAACTGAGTCATGTCGGTAGGTGTAGACTACCTGGTTGGGGACCGCGAGATGATGGCAACCGATGGTTAGAGACCCTGAATGACATGGATCAAAATCGTTTGCAATGCCGCAGGTGCATCCACTCTTTGTGTTCTCCCAAATTTTGATCTCATTCCTCCTTGTCTCTTTTTTTTCTTCCCAAATTTATTTCACTGTATTATACTTTTTAAGTAACATCTCCAAACACTAATCTTCCCGATTACTGCTTATACTCTTATTACCTCTACCACTACGGGATTTGAATCGACCACTGCATCTCTGTGCTAATGTGGTATGGCAACTCGAACTGATGTACGTATGTACGGAGTTCAACGTTGTTACTGATTGACTGACCGACTGAAATGGATGTTCAAAAACAAAAAGTAAAAGAGAAAAAAATGGAAACATTAGATAATGATCCCTATCTCGCATATACCTATTAAAATCTTTACAAAATAACACTTCACATTAAAACAAAACAAATGGGCGTATACTTACTTAATTTCAAGTAAATTAGTTCATTTTAAGTGTAATATAAATTGAACCAATAGAATAAAGATCAACATAAACTATGTAACAGAATATACTTTAATAAAGTAATTATCCTCCTAAAAGCCAATTAAATCAACATACTAAAAGGAAGCCAATGCAACTTCGGGGGTATATAAAATCGTATTTCAAACATTTTCAAAGTTGTTTTTTTTTTAAATCCCAATAATAAGATGCTTATTCCAACAAAACCTGCACCTAATTTCAAAGGAAAAGCTGTCATTAATGGTATATTTAAACAAATTAGTTTACAAGATTATATGGGCAAATATGTTGTATTATTCTTTTATCCTGCAGATTTGTAAGTTAAATTTTAAGCCTGTTTTGTTTTTGAATCATTTGATTAAATATTGAACTATGTGTAAAAGATATGACATCAAGTTCCAATTAGATAATATAATAATTTTAATAGTTGAGATCATAAGTCAATTGAAGCTAGACCATTATGAAGTTGAAGTTAAACATTAACACTGTTGGATGCTAGTCGACTCAGTGGTCTAGTGGTTAAGCACTCGCATGTGAGAACGATAGTTCATGGGTTCGAATTTTACGGGCTGGGATCGTGGATAAACACTGTTGAGGAGTCCCCTGCTAAGATGAAACGACCTTCAAATGCTTCCAGGTTTTCCATGGTAGTCTAGCTTCAAATGACTCATGAATTCAATTATTAATTTACTATAATCTTTACAAAACTTCTCTTTGATTAAGATCACTAATAGTCAATTGTGCTTTTGATAAGTTTGATTCATATAAGTTTTAGAAAATTTAATGTTTATCGTCATTCTGGACAATATCATCAAATGTCAAATAGGAATCATTATTCTGAAGGTCTATTTGATAAATTTATTTATTATTCCAATATATTTTCTTGTAATAAAATGATTATATTTTACTATATTCTTCTTAAATGCTTCACCGTTGTCAGATTGTTGTGAATAATTTCGGAACAAAACATAACAACAACATTGATTTCATTTGTATTTTTATCAGGTTTCACTTTAAATACATAATGATATTGATACGTATAAATGAGGGAAAGTAGTTAATAAATCAAGACAATTGATAAGTCAGATTACACTATCTAAGCTACCTGTTCCTACTATCTGGATATTTCAATAAGTTATCTTTTTTGCTTGTTTATTTTAATACATCATTATGCCTATTAATCTTATAACCTATTCAGTTATAAAAAAGCCCATTCAGAGACATTGAGATTGCTTACTTACTTGCTTACTTACGCCTGTTACTCCCAATGGTGCATAGGCCGCCGACCAGCATTCTCCAACCCACTCTGTCCTGGGACTCCTTTTCTAATTCCATCCAACTCTTGTTCATCCTTTTCATGTCTATTTCCATTTCTCGGCGTAATGTGTTCTTTGGTCTTCCTTTTTTCCTTTGACCTTGAGGATTTCATGTGAGGACTTGTCTTGTGACGCATTTGGGTACTTTCCTCAATGTGTGTCCTATCCACTTCCAGCGCTTCTTCCTGATTTCTTCCTCCGCTGGGATCTGGTTTGTTCTCTCCCACAGTACGTTGTTGCTAATAGTGTCCGGCCAATGGATCTGAAGTATTTTGCGTAGACAACTGTTAATAAACACCTGTATCTTCTGGATGATTGCTTTCATAGTTCTCCAGGTTTCCGCCCCATAAAGTAGAACTGATTTGACATTTGTATTGAAAATCCTGACCTAAGTGTTGGTTGACAGTTGAGATTCCTGGTAATATGCAATGAAAAGAATAAACATTATTCCGATATCGATTGCTGAACTGCTAATAGCTAACTAGCAATCATTCAATATTTATCATCAAGATCGACCAAGAAATAAGAAAACGAAATTTGCTGAAATAATTTGTGCTCAACATTCTATATTGTACCCAAATATATATATATATATATATATATATATATATATATATATATATATATACATAATAGTGAATAAAGCTAATAATAGTAATGTAGTGAACAAGAACACGGGTGGGGACAAACGGACGTATTAAGCATAACAATTACAGACTATCTCAATAAAATCCGAATACCATATATTAAATCGTCAATTTGCAAAATATGCATGCATCAAATCAAACAAGACTGTTTCTGTTGCAAACACCAATCCATTGTCTCCCATTCCATTGTTCATAGGTTTTCTTATAAATTCCATTATGTTCTCGCTCTACCTTTCTTGATCTTCGCCATCTTCTGCTGCCAGACCTTATGTTTTTTTGACGCACGTTATATACTACTTATATCAATATAAGTAGCCAGTATAAGTAACCAGTTTGAATAAATACACAAGATGAAATATAAATAGAATGATTTCAAAGAATACAACTATAGAACAAAAAGGTAGGTAGAATAAGTGAAAATGTTAATTAAATCTTCTTTGATTATAACAGAAAGATAAGAATATTATGAACTTTATTCTAGTACTACCAGTATTGTGGTGGACCAGACAGTATACGAACTCAAAAATGATAATAAAAAAGTTATTAAAGATAAATAGTAATGTTAATATATATCAGTTAAATGTTATAAACACAACAAAACTGAGGGACGTTACTTAATTCACCAAATGATTGAGTCTGGTACCAAAAAATCCACAATTATAGATGATTAATGATTCCAGTAAGGTTGATGAATTTCCCAGGGGTATAATTCAACGTAGATTATAATATATTCCAATTACAGTCTATAAATGTAGATAGTATTTGATTCAGAGTTCAGGTAACATAATCACAAATGAATGTAGAATGATGGATATATGTGCAACAATGTATATGTTAGCAACCAACAGTATTTCATGTTATGAAGTTACACAACGAAAGGAAAGTGTGTTCAAGGTTATACACTTAAACAACACGTACAATCATTTAATGATAAATGATTATGCAGTGAAAAATTGACAAAATAAATACAAATAACATTAAATATTAATTACAAAATAAGCTTGTCTGGCATATCTCCACAGTATGTTTAAGGAACTAGTTAGAAAAATGTGAAGGAATATGGTAGATAACGTTCAGTGATTTAGTTTCATCTATCAAATAGCTACTATTAACTAGAACAGAAATGATCATAGATTCTGTTTAACATAATTAAAACTATGAAGTAAAACGCTCTCTAACTTATTTTTTTAATGCTTCTTGATTGTTTACCTAATACAGCTTTATTCCATATGAGTATCTGGATAGGTAGAAATACGTTGATTTTGGTGGAGTTTTGTTCTCTGAGCTGGATGGTTTGATCGACCAAATCATCCAGCTCCGAGAACAAAACTCCACCGAAATCATCCACTTGAGCTACAAATCTTCTCCACCATCTCAGAAATATGTTGAATTGGGAAAATCAAGTAATATGCCTTTTCCTTGAATAGTTACTACTGGTTAACCAAAAAGTGTCAAAGTTTAGTTGCAAATATGTATTTTCGTTCAATTGAAAAGGAAAATTAGAGAGAGATATGTATATTATAGAAAACAGTTATCACTAACTTATCCCAATGTCAAGCTATTGATAATCAATTAAATTCATTTAATATTAGAAGAGGTATTGTGGAGATTGTAGTAATTTCAACAGTTGAGATCATGAGTCATTTACCTGTGGATTAACTAGAATCAATTAGAAATTTCTTGTTGGACTATATATCCTGAATTTCTCAGAGATGTTACTTGAATTGTATCATAAGTTCTTTAAAATGGTATTTTTCATAAAACAAAGTATTCATATCATGTCTCAAAACTTATCCAAGATTCTGTCTCAACAATTAAACCTCTAATATTACATAGAAGCAAATTAACTTCCTTTATATATAGTATTGGTGCCGACTAGAAGAAGTATAACATTGTATAACGAGATTAAATGTGAATGTATATCATGATCTATTGTAACCCATGAAGTTCAACCATATTACATTTTAGATAGATGTAAATGATTGTAGTTGATAATTATTGTACAATATCTCTAGTTGATTGTAATTAAAAATATGAACCATTCGATAGTAACTCGGTGGTTTTAATGTTAATTACTCATTGTAAGTCCTGAATTCCCTAGGTACGATCTCTAACAAAACTTTTAATACACATTACTATGCTGTCACTAATGATTTCGTTATGTAAACCCTAAATCATATAAACTCCAAAAGCCTCTTATGATAATGATAACAAAACAAAAAATTATTAAATGATTTTATTACACTAAGAACTATATATTATCATAAAAGAATCTTTATATTTCATTTGTAAACAATCAATTGACGAAATAGTGAAACTTCATCAGTTGAGATGGCTGGGACACGTATTACGTATGCTCAATCATCAACTGGTCCGACGTGTTATGTTTTATGGTGTAGGAGTAGGTTAGAAGAAAGCTATGGGGCGGCCAGACCAAAACATGGCACAAATCCATGAAGTCACTGACAAGTGGACTGAACTAAATTTGGTGTACAGAAATACAGAACTTCTTTCAGGTACAATGATGTATCTAAACTAGCAAGATCATTTATGGTATATTACAGATTACATGGCGTACACTTATGAAATTGTTTAGAACACATCATTGATCTACTGTTACAGAAGTATTCCTTTGTATATATTTATTCCTTTTACAGTACATTTGTCTGTCCAACTGAAATTATAGCATATAGTGAACGCGTTGAAGATTTTGAAAAAAGAAATTGTCAAGTTATTGCCTGTTCAACAGATTCTGAATATTGTCATTTGGCATGGACAAATATGGATCGTAAAGCAGGTGGATTAGGTCCAATGAAAATACCACTTTTAGCTGATACAACAAAATGTATATCACGATCATATGGTGTACTTGATGAAGAAGAGGGTAATGCATTCAGGTAAATTCTATTAATTGTGCAAATGAAATAATTCTAATGTATACGTAACAAAAGAAAATACACTAATAATACTAATAGTGTCCTGCCAATTAAAATTAATGATATTTTACTAATAATGTTTCTTTTAAAAACTTTCTTGCAATCTGCAAACCTCACTTGATGAGTTACAATTTTATGAAGTATCAAACAGGTGAGCAACACAAATAGCTAGATTATCGACAATATATTAAACTTAACACTTAAAGAATGATATATATATATATATATAGAGAGAGAGAGAGAAGGACTCAAAAATTAGTAGTATTACTCAAAATATTTATTAAAAGCTAGTAGTTTAGGCCAATAAGGTCAGTAAGGAACTTCATGTCAGTCAGTCAGTCAGTAACAACGTAGAACTTCGTACGTACGTACATCAGTTCGAGTTGCCACACCACATTAGCACAGAGATGCAGTGGTCGATTCGAATCCCGTAGTGGTAGAGGTAATAAGAGTATAAGCAGTAATCGGGAAGATTAGTGTTTGGAGATGTTATTTAAAGAGTATAATACAGGGAAATAAATTTAGGAAGAGAAAAAAAAAGAGACAAGGAGGAATAAGCAGATCAAAATTTGGGAGAACACAAAGAGTGGATGCACCTGCGCCATTGCAAACGATTTTGAGTCATGTCATTCAGGGTCTCTAACCATCGGTTGCTATCATCTCGCGGTCCCCAACCAGGTAGTCTACACCTACCGACATGACTCAGACCACTTGTCAGTGACTTCATGGACTTGTGCCATGTTTTGTTCTGGCCACCCCTAGATTTCTTCCAACCTACTCCTATACCACTGAACATCGCACGTCGAGGCAGTCGGTCGTTGGGCATACGTAACTTGTGTCCCAGCCATCTCAACCGATGAAGTTTCACCGCTTCATCAATTGATTTGCCATCCTTACCTAGTACCCGTTTCCTAACAGCTGCATTACTTACTCGATAGTCCCAGGATATACGAGCAATATTTCGAAGACACCTATGATCAAATATTAGTAACCTACGGATTTCCTCTACTCTTACCGGCCATGTTTCACTTCCATAAAGCAGAACGGAACGAACTGCTGCGCAGTAAACACGTTCTTTGGTTGATAGACGGATGTTTCGCCTACGCTATAAATGACGCAAATTGGCAAAGGCTAGTCGAGCCTTCTGTATCCGTGCTGAGATTTCGTCACATACCAGACCACAAGGGCTGATGAGACTTCCAAGATAAGTGAAGCGATCGACACGCTCAATTACTTCACTCCCTATCATTAGTTCGGGTGTCGATGCAACCCAATTTTGAAGCAACATTTTGCATTTCAAGGGGAGAATCGCATCCCGAACATGCTTGCATTGTTGCTTAGAGTGGTCAGAAGACTCTGCATTTTGTCAGCGTCTTCACCAAATAAAACTATGTCATCAGCATATTCTAAGTCAACAAGGGAACCTCCCGGTAGAAGTTCAACACCTGGAAATCTAGATGAGGAGAGTGTTATCTCTAAAAGTACGTCGACGACAAAGTTGAACAAGAATGGAGAGAGTGGAAAGCCCTGACGAACACCACTTGAGGTAATCAATTCTGATGACAGTTTGCCATAAGCTCTCACTCTGCCAGTTGTGTTCGATTAGAGAGCCTTTATAAGGTTAACGTACTTCTGTGGTACTCCTTTCAATGACAAACACTGCCATAGAACCTTACGATCAACATAGTCGAATGCCGCCTTAAGGTCGAGAAATACTACCATTATGGGGCGTCTGAATGTGTGTCTGTGTTCTAGAACCTGACGTAGTGTGAATATCTTATCTATACAACCACGTCCAGGTCGAAAACCAGCCTGATTTTCTGTAGTCTGCTCTTCACGAGCTTTAGTTAGGCGTCGAAGTATTATTGAAGCTAATATTTTAGACACTATATTAGTCAAACTGATTCCTCTGTGATTGTCACAAGAGGACTTTTGTCCTTTCTTAAAAACTGGCACAATCAGTGATTGAGACCAGTCAGATGGGATTACGTCCAGTTCCCGAATTCTACCTAAGACCTCAGTTAATCTCACTGCTAATACTGGACCACCATCCTTAAAAATTTCAGGAGTAAACCTGTCAGGACCTGCTGCTCTCCCTCGCTTCAGATTTCCTATGGCCTTTTCAACTTCGTAAAGAGACGGAGGACTTACATTAACCTGCCACTCAGGTTGACTAGAGATCGTGGGAAATCGAAATGTGGCTGAAGGCCAGTTGAACTGATCCCTAAATTGTTCTGCCCATCGATCTAATCTCCTGGATTGAGAGTGTACAGTATGTCCATCTTTCTCTGAGAGTGTTTCGCTAACAGTCGGTTTCCTAATACCGGTTTCCTTAACAGGTCTGAACAATTGTCTGCTATTACCTATTGCCGCTGCCTTTTCCATCTCTCCTGCTTTCGCTACCCATCACTGTTCGCGATCATTGCGTAGACTTCTTGTCAGCTTGCGCTTAAGCTGACTCCGCTCTTCATTATGTTCAGAGCCAGGTGGAATGAGTTTCCGAGCATCTATCAATGCGATAGATGCTGCTGAGATCCAGTGTCGTTCCCTAACCTTACGGGTTACCGTATTAGCAGATATCACTGCCGTTTCCACAGCTTTACGGATATCATTCCATGCTGCCTCGGGGTGGGCATCACATACATGGCTGCCTAACTGTTTTCCTAGTTGTTCCTGAAATATACTCTTAGCTTGACTATCATTAAGTAGGGCCCTAAGAGGTTTCCTTGCAGCGTCTTTCTTACGTCCAGTAAGACACAGGCAAATACGCGCTCGTACTAGAGCGTGATCTGAATCTAAGCATGTGCTCCAGAATGAGCGACAGTCTTCTATCGAGCCCCTCCATCGGTGGCTGATAGCGAAGTGATCTAGTTGGGTCCAACGTTGTGACGAATTAGGGGTCTCCATGTTAAATAATGTTTATCCTTATGCTTAAAGTTATTATTTGCAAGGAACAGACGGTTATCTGAGCATAGCTGCAACAGACGGTCGCCATTATCTGTTCTTTGAGCCACGATGCTATAAGATCCACCCAGGTGTCTTTCCCTATCGCTTAGTTTACCTACTTGAGCATTAAAGCCAGCGGCCACTATGACTAAATCCGAGCGCCTAGCTTTTCGGAGAAGGTCGGAGAGCTTTCCGTAAAACTCATCTTTTACATCATCTGCGCTGCAGTCAGTGGGAGAATAGGCAGAGACGACGAAGAGGCAACGACGAGTGTCCCTATCTTTTCGGATCATTACTGTTCCGTTTAGTCGGACAGCGCACAAACGACTGTCTACTGGGATCCACTCTAAGAGAGCTAGTTCTGCCCTACGACTCAATGCTATGCCTACGCCGTCGAGGCCACGGGAAGCAGGAACTTCATGTAGTTATATCGTGTATTAAAAATACCAAAGAAAGTTTCTGTAGTCAGAATTCCAACGAAATCTCTTTTAATAGGATTTTGAAATGTATGATTTTCAAGAATTTCTAAGAAAGGAGTTGTTAAACAGAATCAACTCTTCAAATGTAAATTATTTGTTTTATATACGCACATGTATGTATATATATCCTCGCTAATGAGCAGAATTAACAATGCGATGTTAACAAGTCTGAATATATATAAGTCGTAGCTAGCAGTGAAGTTCAGGACATCCGTTTTCTTCCGTTTGGGACTCATCAGCCGGCTGAACTTTTATTTCACAGTTGATGTTCATACGATGCTCAAATACGATATGGAGTTGCCTCAAACGCTCACACATTATCTAACCAGCAGTGTTAGTTCATATCTGTTATATGTCGTTTTACTGTTCAATGATTGACATCCTACGGAAAAATATCACCTGAATAGTCGTTTATCAGCTTCTTTGACTACGACGTGTACTCCGGAAAATCAAGGGATAAGGAATTCCGATAAGATTTATGTACTCATCGTACAAAAATAATTCAGTCTGAAAATTGAGGCAGTCGTTTATCAATGTTGTAAATGATATTATTCTGTTCGTAGTAAAAATGTGTGAAACACTCAACCATAGACGAATTTCAATACAGAAGTGAGACGATTTTGTCACAACAAGATGAACAGTAAATTCATATAAGTAGTTAATTTAGAGGTGGTAATATATAAAAGAAAGATTGCATATAAGGATATAGTACAGGAAGAAAGAATTAGTATGTAGAAAGAAAGATATGGAGCGATTTTTAATCTCACGGTTTAAAGGAAGACAAAGAGTATATACACCTACGACATTTTGAGCCATGTCATCCAGAGTCTCCAACCATTGGTTACGATAGTCACGCGGAACTCAACCAGGTAGTCTGCATCTACCAACATGTCTAAGACTAGAAATTAGTGACTTCAAGCACTGGTGCCACGTTTTGGTTTGGCCGCCCCTAACTTTCTTCCAAAAGTCTTTCTAACACTAGTCAGCACTGAGCGTTGTGGTAATCGGTGTTCAGACATAAGTAACACGTAGCTCAACCATCTCAGTCGATGAAAATTCACAACCTCATCAACCGACAAAAGCCAAGCGAGCTTTTTGAATCCGTGCTGAGATTTCGTCAGATACCAACCCATTAGGGCTGATCAGACTTCCGAGATAAACGAAGTCGTCGACGTGTTCGACTACTTCACTCCCTATCTTCAGTTTAGGTGCTGACACAGGCCAGTCCAGATGCTATAATTTGAAGGTAAATTGTGTTTAATTAGCACTTGTTTGCCCATCAGGACGCTCTGGACCGTGATCATGAAGAGCACGGATATTAGTGGTTCGTGAGCAAACGGGAATCACAGTCAATGGGTTTCTATCCCCAGGATTATTTCACGTTTTACTTCAGCATTAGACAAGTGTTTTATATCGACTACCTCCAACCACTATCTAATCATAAGTGTTTTACGTGTTTCTTCGTCCCTTATCCGTTTCTCCTCTAATTTTTCTATGTTTCCCAACACATCCTATCAACAAACAAATTGAATTCGCTGGTGAAAAGTTAAAAGACTCACTCAAGCTCACAGGAGTAAGATCACTAAACAGCTTTTATATCTTAAGTGTTCAGTGAGATGATAATTCTTGTTTAAAAACCTCTCCCTGAAATAAGTAACTGATACAAACAATCAATATTTTGAACTCAAATTCAAAAAGCTTCAAAAGCTGTTAATCTATAATGTACAAACTCAGTCTATCGATGTAGCGTGAATCAGATGGAGTTGGGATAATCAACTTGTAGGGGGACGGTTGTTACTGCTATCCGATTGCTTATAATAGAGTATTCCTTAGGTTAATTTGTGAGTGACTAACAACAATTGAGGACGCACATCAACAAGACCAAATATGTGATATAGATCAAATTTCAGGCAACCGAAATAGAAGATGCAACGAAAAATTCAACAATTTAAAGAAGGATACAGATTATTCTCAATCGTTACTGATGTACACAAAAAACTGGGAATATACAACTGTTAGAAACTCAAAGAGAAGTTTAATGATGCATGCAACAGGGCTGCTACAACTTAGTTGAAATATTTTATTTAGTGGAGTTGTTAAATGTGAATATCATTGAAATCACGAGCTGATCTGTGTTAGGCAACCACTGGAGACCTAGAAGTAGTCAACAGCCGTTTCGCACTAGTGCATAAATCCTAAGCAGTGTGCATCCATGACCCAGCAGCAGAGAACCTAACCCAGGACCTTCAATCTCGTACGCAAACGCTTAATCTGTAGACCACTGAACCGAGTCCAATGATGTACAAATTTAACTCCAATCAACTTACAATATTGTGCGACCTTCTATTATCTTTATTGGGTCCCGTCCCTTAAACAGACACAGCTTAGCTTTACTGGTTATGATTTCTCACCGGAACTCTGAAAACCACACGTCAAAACGAATCACTAGTGAGTACATGATAATCAGTATGTGGTTGTCTAACTTAGATCACTTCGTGATTTCAATGAAATTCAACAATCTCTACAACCGCATACTGATAAAACTATAGTAGTCAGCTCATTAGTAACTTAATTTCGTTCGACAAGATTTTACAAACTTTTTCAAAACCCAAGCAACAATCAGAATCATAAAATTCAAGAATACACCTATTAGTAACGATACATTGCAATCATGGATTTAGTCAAGTCTTTAAGAAATGATAGCATTCATAAAAGTATTTCTGAAAAGCGAACATGAACCAAAAAGCTACAAATTTATTTCGATGAGCTGATATCAAGATACTTATTTACTTCTAATTTATTATGTCTATGCGTTATTTATATGGAATGCCATTTTATGACAATATTGCATTGTCTGTAATTCCATACTGTTTCTTTTTTACTATTATTTCTACTACTGCAGAGGATTATTTATAATTGATGGTAAAGGCATACTCCGTCAGATAACAGTAAATGATCGCCCAGTTGGTCGGTCTGTTGATGAAACCATACGACTGTTGGATGCATTTCAATTCGTAGAAAAACATGGTGAAGTATGTCCAGCTAACTGGAAAGCTGGTAAGAAAACAATTAAACCAGATCCAAATGCTAGTAAAGAGTTTTTTGCTTCGTCTACAGAAAACGTTCCTGTTCACTAACACATAATTATTGTCTACACAAAATAGTGAAGTAAAATATCTATAGTATGCAGTTTGATTATTAAACCGCTCATTTATTTATATGTATCATTGTTTAAATAAACTGATGAAAAAGTTAGTTTAATACTCACATAGGTAACTTTGTTACATGATTGATAATCATCGTAATTCGAGACAAATAATTTGAGAACATTTAAACGAAGATAAATTATCTAAGCTAAGAGCACGGTGTAGATGAGAACTTCAACGATTTTCAAAATAACTGTGAATGTAAGGCCGTTGTTAATCAATCAGGAAAGTTATTACAAATGAATAACTCCTGAGTGTAAACGATAATGTTAAAGATTTAACACAATCTATGGAACTACAAGTTTTTCTATCTCAAAACTGATAAAATGGAAAAAATTTTCTTATGGCTAAAGAAATTTGTCTTTCTGAACCCGCGTAAGGACTCAAGTAGGTTTTCGGGAATACCTATATAGTGTTGGATAAGGTTCAGGGACAAGGTATCTGGTCAGCACGTCATTTTATACCTACATAAAAAGAACTGAGCCTTTTTCACTCCTGTAGTAGCTGTGATTCGTCGACCCATCACCCTCGTAAGCGTTACCATATAATCCTCAACGCTGTTTGAAATCAGAAGGCAAAGAGAATCAGCGACTACAGTTTTATTAGCAGATAACTCACACCACAAAGCAGAGAGCCAAATGAATGGGTCAGCGAACCGAGAGTGTAGAGTGTAAATGTACACGTATATATATAGGGAAATGAATGGATCATCGAATCAATTAAGCAGCTAATAATAAAGGTAGCAGAATGAATATATGCGTATGCAATAAGCAATGTTCAAGCATACATATTTCGTACAAGCACAACAATAATAAAGGTACAATAAGTTGTTATAGTACGGATGACTTTGTCCGCTAAGTTAACAAAAGGGCTTAACCGAGTTAAATGACAACAAACTCAATTGCACGTGAGTTGCTATACTCCGTTATTTAAAAAGTATATTTTGTCTAGAATACCATACAAAAGTATTTCTGTTGACCATTTTATGTGATAAAGGATAAAAGTCATTTACTTCCTAAATTCGTTCTGACTGGGTCACTTCCTTACGCCTGTTACCCCTTGCACTTCTAATTCTCGCATTTACATCTGCATCAGATCCTCCACGTTCATCGATGATGCTGTCCAAGCACGTGAAAGTTTCCACCTCAACCCGAGTTTCACCATCAAGTGTGATTGGGTTAATGATCTCTGTGTTGTATTTGAAGACCGTGCTTCATCCCATGTGTATGTTAAGGTCTACTGATGCAGAGGCTGCTGCTACACTGGTCCTCTTGACCTGAATTTGTTTGTGTGTATAGAAAGGAAGAGCTAGGTCATCTCACAAGTAAAAATCATCTAGTTGCATACAACCTGTCCATTGTATTCCGTGTATTCCCTCAGATGTATTGGTCTTCATAATCCAGTCAAATACCAGAAGAATAAGAGGGAGAGTGAGAGTGAGAGTAAGCAGACTTGTATGACTCCGATCCCCACTTGGACAGATCCTGTCAGCTGTCTTCCATGAACAACTCCGCAGTGTAGCCCGTCCTATCAACTCCGGATGATGTTGACGATTTTCGCACATACACCATAATGTCGAAGTAGCTTCCATAATGTTCTCCTATCCATACTGTCAAACGCCTTCTCATAGTCAAGAAAGTTGATGTATAGTGACAAGTTCCATCCAATTGTTTGTTCAACGATGATCCGTGGTGTCACGACTTGGTTTGTGCACGACCGATTCATACGGAATCCGGACTGTTAGTCTCAAAGCTGGACCTCCACCGAATATTTCATCCAGTTTAACAACACTTCGTTGAAAACGTTTCCTGATACTGATATTAGTGTGATGTCTCTGTAATTCTCACACTTACTCAGATCTCCTTTCTTTGGTATCTTGTTGGGGTATGCCTCCTTCCAGTCTGTTGGCACTTGTTTTTCATCCCATATCTTCCTGAACAGAACGTGGAGCATGTTTACAGTTACTTCCATTTCTGATTTTAGTGCTTCGGCTGCCATATTGTCTGGTCCTGTAGCTTCCCCACTCTTGATTTTTCTGATAACCATGTTGATTTGTTTGATCGTTGGTGAAATGAAATATATAGGAAGCTCTGTACATACTGCATCGATTTCCAGTGGGTTCAGTGAGGCTGGTTTATCCAAGAGCTCCTCATATTGTTCTGCCCACCTGTTCCTATGTTCAGTGACTGGCTGGCCCTCCTTGTCTTTGACTGGTCTCACCGATTTACTATATTTCCCTGTTAGTGACTGAGTCACTCTTACATCATATATAACATATGGAAGATGATGGTAATGATACTTGTGTAAATAGTTGCGTGATTAATAGTGGTAACAGATGAAAGTATCACAACAAAAGTAAGAAAGTCTTGTTAAGTATTTCATGGGAAAAATCAACGTACAAAAAAAAAAAAATAAAGGTCACTAAGACTTATTATCAAGAAGAACTGTTGTAGGGAAACATTTAAAGAATAATTAGCCTGTGATTACTTCTGTTCAACGCCATTTTTGATATGATCAATATCGGAATAAAATCCATCTATCAGAAAAAAAATACTAGTGATGTACTAGACAATCAAGAACATTGGAAAAAAAGCAACAAATAAGGAATTTGTTTGAGAACGATGTAAACAACCTTATCAAGTTTCTAAGCATGTGCAATAACTAGAAATGAAGATTAGTTTTTCACGTACTGCTCACAATTTCAGTAGAGGGTGAGTCCCAACAAAGGTTAGACTAGCTTACGTGACGAAGGTGACTTACAACATTAAATACGTAAGGCTAAGTGTAGTAAGATTTTAAAAAATCAGGGATAAAATAACAAGCAATACAGAGTACTCAATTCATACCTAACTGTTCTTTAGTGAATTATAAGTCGACCAAACGCGACGTAGGATCTGGCTAGTGTCCAGTTCGGTCTGAATTGCCACACCCCATCAGCACAGCGAGATGAAAGTCAGGGAGAATCCCAGTGTTAGGGTTAGTAACCGTACTACTGGTAACAGAAAAGACTAGGCATCGAAGATATGATAAAATAAAAAATGAATTAGTGAGATAAAATGTGGGATTTAGAAACTTGGGATCCAAGGGAGGATAGAAAGTGGATGCACTTGCAACATTGCGAACGTTTTTCAGCGGTTCCACCCAGAGTATCTAACCATTGGTTAAGACAATCACGCAGACCCCAGCTAGGTAGTCCTCACCTACATGTGTTAGCCTGCTAGTCAGTGTCTTCATGGACCGGTGACGTCTTGGTTTACACGCCCGTAGCCCCCTCTCAACCTACTCCTACACTAAACATCATCGCCCATAAAAAGCTCAACCAAACAGTTGACTTAATATAATTATCACATTCTTGAAAACACTATTCACATAATAATCTGTCCAAACAGCTAGATAATTATAATGTACAAATAATTGAGCTCAGTGGACAAGCGAACGTTGATGCTTATATTACATACTTAGTTTATGCATACATCAACTCTTACTACAATTGTACGAACCTGAATATACCTTTATACCCCATGAGAAAGTTAGTGGATATCCGGAATACGTGAATTGCGTGTCGAAGCTAGAATCTATAGGTAATGGACTCCAGTCGTGATGCAAATATCAACATTGTGATCCAGTTTACCAATATTCTAGATAGATCGGAACGCAGATCCTAGGTACTAAAACCGTTCACATTGTACCTAAATTCTTTGACCCAAACAGTTTAGTTCAAATCTGCCAGGACTATCTTATTTCTTGTTGTTGATAAGATCCCTATGGTCACTTGTTTGAGAAATCAAATAAACACATGTTAAAGCGCATAATATATTTCAAAGACACCTTACTGATAACCAGCTTAAGCTTATTGGGCTAAATAGTGACCCTACATAGTTTGGAGTAACTTTACTCGTCGTCTGCACACAATGGAGATCATTAAATGGAAGAAGCTATGGTGAGCTATAGATCAGATTTTAGCACAAATATCACCGTGTACACACTATTTTAACAGCGACCATGTAAAAATATATTTGTTTATTTAACGGAGGGAAACTCCTTTTATTTGTACTTCACCTACACAGCTTTTACGACCTCCCAACACTCCCCTTATCGCCAAGCGATTCCCGACAAAAGGTTTTTCAAATGTAAAAGCTTATGTGCTACGAAGATATCCCAAAACTGCACAACCAGTGCCAACTCATCACAACAGAAGTATGAATTTAGAAGAAAACACCCAAATTCATTTCGTAGTAACTTTGATCATTCGGAAACCAGAGAAAAATAACCACTCATTACAGTTTATTTCTTTTAACACAGATATTCGTACAAGGATGCACCAAATACATATGCGTCACACAAATCTCATTCGATATGTGTGAGGGCTGTGATACTGCCCGGGTGCCCAAACCGAAGCAGGTGGTTTTCTTAAGATGCCACACCCCGAGCCTTTGACCTAATGGTCTAACCCACAAGGCAGTGGAGCAACGTAAGGAGATGCAGTCCCATGGAAGCCGGTGACCAACAATTGGTTCATACGCCATTTGTTCCCGCAGGATACTGGAGCCCATGTGCACCATCAGTTTGGAATCCGGTTAAGGCGCCGGACATTCGCTTCTCGTCCTCTCATTCTCGTAAACAACACCCCCGCCACGAGAAGGCAGTGAGTAGGACTTCCCTGACAGAGGTTATATACGCGTGGCCATGTGAGAGCATTTCGAGAGGGAGAGCGAACTCTCCCCACTCTCGACCATACCAGGGCATTTGGGGGCACTCATTACAGTAGCCCACATGAAACTATGATTACGTTTCCAGTAGACCACGTCTGAATACAATAACTTGGAGATGGCAACTAATTGAGTTTAATCCTATCCATTATTGTTACCTTAGATTTTATCAGGGCAGTCTACGATTAATCAAATCTTTTAATTAGGAAATCTACTATGAGAGGTCAGTATATCATTTACAAGATATACTGGTAGTTCCTAAAGTTAATTAGCCAAGTTGAGGTAACCAAACTCATCTCCAATTAAACAAGTAGACCGAAACATTAAATAATCTAATAATTTGATGTTTTATGATTGTAAAGTGAATATTGAATTAATTAGTCCTACTATAACGACTGATGTGTCGCTTCTAATTAACCACTTTGAGGTTTCGACACCTTGTCTAGTCGTTCCAAAATACTTTTAAACTTAAGAGTATCGTGGTGATCTCTATGCTCGAAATGTCATAACACACATATCTTTTATAATATTCCGGATCGGTCTTGTGTCTAGATATCGCCAACTAAGAAAATAGTGAGACAGTGGTTTCCTTTTTGAATGCAGCTACCGACTTTAAACTCTTACTGGGGGTTTACAACAACACGTTGGGTTTAGTCTTAGGAGGAAGTTGTTCATTTATATCCAACTAATGTTCATTTTCTATCCAAAGCTTGATCCAGCTGAGTGAAACTGGCTAAGTTGCTTAGGCTTAACTAACCATGCGTTTTGTTTAGTACTCATATTTACTCAGCTCAACTTTTTTCACACGCAACTTGTTTCTTTTCTTGACTCTTAACTCATGACATTCCTAAAACAATGTCATAATTTAAAAATAAGGAAGGAATGGGAGTGGATATTACATAAAACCATCAGGATACCGAACTAGTTGATTCCTTTACCAAAGAATCTTAGATGGTGATAATTAGACAGTATAAAGAGCAATGTGACTAGTCATTGGAAGAATTCTTTGACTTTTGTAAAAGAACTAAGTTTATCAATATCAAAGAGACAATGTACCAATCACAAGATCTCGAAAAGATAACATATAGGAATAATTATTATGCGAATTGATAGTGTGTAAGGAGTTATTTAAGTCAAATCACTTTGTCGACATAATAAGAGCAACTATTAGTCCATAGAGTCCAAGTACCTCCGCAAAGATTAAAATAAGCACCATTCCAACAAACATTCTTGGTTGCTTGGAGGTTGCTCGCACACCGGCGTCACCAACTTTCCCAATTGCGTAGCCAGCAGCCAGTCCACTGAATCCCACGCTTAAACCAGCACCAAGATCATTAATTGACCTGAATGTATCACTGGAGATGATAAAAACTTACATGAACAAAGTGTAACTATCGTCTATTCTTTGAGCAATTAATACAGAGACGACAAGACCATATATTGCAATTATTCCTGCCATTACAACTGGTATTATGGTCTTCATGACGATATCAGGACGGGATACTGCAATGCATGAAATGCTCATACCGGAAATGGCAGTGCCGTAACCAGCGCCAAGTGCTAAAGACATCAACTATTAAATGGAAAAATACTCTACCACATAATATCATCGCCGCACTACATCCAATTAAACCCAAAAATGGTGCCCAAACTGGAGCGGACTCCATCCTGAAAAATTTGAAACGCCCGCCTCAGATGTCTTCAAATTTCAAATGGTTCTGGACGGAATAGAAGTTTTCGTTTAACGGGCTTCCGTATCCAGTAGCAATGGATCGCCGAAACCTCCAGGCAGGAACCTAGGTATATTAACGGTAAATAAGAAAAATAATAATTAGTAAATTATAGTGAGATACTCTGCCCTAGTCCTTTAGAATACGTCAAGTTTTCTCCTAAAGGAGCCCTGGGAAGTTGCCTGGACTAGCTCAGCCAGAAACGAACTCTAACATTTGACTACTCTTAAGGAGAGCAATTTGTGCCTACAGTCCGTTCTGCTGTGTTGTGTCTCCAGTTTATAGGTGTTAGGAATAAACTTAGGTAGGTGTTTCAGGGGATACCCAGAAGTATTTAGGATGTTATAAGTCATCAGAAGGTCACTACAATGACACTTTCACTCTAATGGGTAAACGTTAGGTGATTAGAGACACTCATTATCAGACTTGAATTTGGGTTCCTGAACCAATTTCGTGGCTCGCCGTTGGATACGTCCCAGAGTGTCCTTGTAATTTTGGGGTGAGGGGGGAAACACTATACTTCCGTACTCTATATGGGGACGAATGAAACCGTTGAAGAATATGTGGACAGTTCTTCCATCAAACTGACCGACATTGCGCCTGAACGCTACCAGTGCAATGTTTGCTCGGAAGGCAGTTTTGTCGCAGTCAGACTTAAACTCATAGGATATCAACACTCCTAGATTTTTTCCAAAATGAGACTCCTCTAGAGGGGAGTTACCTGGGCTTTATTCGTGTCTGTGGGCTACTTTACGGTTTTAAGTGTTAAATGTAAGTCTGTTTTTGTCTGCCCAGCCATGAAGTTGAGTCAGATCCTCACATCACCAGTGAAAAGTAATAAATCTGATTATGTCTGTTTTAGAGGATTGTCTACATGAATCAAGAAAGAAATACGTCCCAGTACTGAACCCTGGAGGATCCTCCTAGGACATTCTATAGCCCGAGAGAAAGTAAAGTTAATCTTGACCTTAATCTGTCGAGTTTTTAGATATGAAGTGAGCCAATCGATTGAAGGTGATTTAGTACCCAATCGTTTGAGCTTATTGATAAGACATATATGATTGACCCTATCAAAAGCTTTTGAGAAGTTAAAATATATGACGTCGACCTTCCCCTTGCGATCAAGGATAGTTGTCTACCTTTTTACCGCAGTCGGTAAGTTGACTTTACAAGAGTGACATTTTCTAAAACCGTGCTGTTGGGATGAAAAGAAATTTATGGATAGTAGGTAGTCCGGAAGACTGACGCATATCACGGACCCCATAATTCCCGAGGGTATTGAGAGGAGTGCTATCGACTTGTAGTTTGAAGGTTTGTTGCGTCGATCTTCTTTAAAAATTGGTGTGATGTGATCGCGACTCCAATTATCTGGTAATGTACCCTTCATTACCTCTATAATTATCACACAATTTATCTTATCTGTCTCTGAACATCATCCAGTTGTTACATCACCCACCCCTAATGTCTTTTCATTCTAACACCAAACAACCTCCGACCTGTTCTTGTACAGAAGTATACAGTTATTACTGAGTTATTACTGAATACCTGTATCATCATCAGAACCTTTGTCATTTCAGTTCTTTCGACTCACTTATGTAGATTGTTTCACACTATATCTTATCAAAGTGTAATAACATGACACATATTTGGTTGTAAGCAGCTGATTAGAAACCACGAAATTTGATGAATTCATACTATTCCGTATCCATTTTCGTTCTGGCTTTGTTTAATTCATAAAGGGAACAAATTGCATGGAGTTTTTAGAAATTCTTCGTCTAAGCTCAACGGCGTCAGATTGTTTTTCCGATGGGTTTCTGACTTGACATTTTCGAATGATTGCAGATCTTCAATGAGGTTGAGGAGCCAAACGTCAGAAGAGTTGTCATCTCCAATGTACATATGTTCAGAAAAGTTGACTTTAGGAAGACCAAAGCCTCCAAGAATCAGGATATAAGTGTATCCGAGACGAGTAGGTTGGAACAATCCTTCCAGCATACGGTTATCAAACTCGATGACATCAGTGGGCTTCCTGTAGATGACTCCAAGGAGACGTCGCGACGTGCTAGACAGTCTTGCTTAGCACCATACAGATTCACCAAGATCTATAAACTCTTGAGTCTGCACTTTATGTTCTACCAAGCAAGATCGCAGGTACAGGGCTTTGTTTTCCTGTCATTGCGAAACAAAAATATCCCGGGCATCGCTAGTTCCTGGTCCTTAGTTTGAAAAGATATCCATGTTTCAGACATTCTTATCGAATGTGTATTATTATCATTAATGGGTTCACACGGTTCATCCATTTTATTCGGTAAAGTCATGGTGTTCATATATAAGTAGTTTACGCGGCGATACTATAATTTATGGACAAACCAATGTGAGTTAGGATAACAGGTCTTGGATTTTGACGTAAAAATTTGCTCACCCATTTGACCAAATAGCGTCATGGCATTTTAGCTGATGTCACTTCGTGATGAAAAACCGTAAATCTTATTCCTAACCATCAACTGTGAATGATACTGCGTATTCTCCAAAGTGCTTTACAACCCACATTTTGCCTCAGTAAGTGAGTAGACGTTCTCAAAGTCACTTTAACGTCTCTCAAAGGTCGTCCATAAATTATAATCCCACCGTCTACGCTTTCAACCTGAAACGCGTGAGCTTCCATGTCCTGTTTATCTGCATGGGCTTAGTGAGAATGGACAGGTAACCTGCCTGGACATGTTTTTTCGAGTTGGTAGCCCCTGTCCTCTCTACGTTTTCTCATTGTCTTGATGCTCCACAAGTAGGATAGTCAGCTCCACTTTACTTTCGTGTTTGATCCTGGCATCATATGGTCTGTCGGGCTGCGTGTGGATTCCAGTTGGCAACCGGCATCAGTTGTTATGAAATGCTTCGTCACTAGCAGCCGCTATATGAAAGGACGAGAGGGTCATCCCCGTTAGCCGGAGTCTAGAATATCCGTCTTTCTTGGCTAGTTTCACCACCTGCAAACAATGCATAAGAGAGAATGACCAAAATATTACGAATCTCATTGTAAAATGCAGTAATTCTTTATTTCAGGCAATAGTTAGAGTTAGATTTTATATTCATATTATCTAAGTTTAGCGGCTAAATTATAATGCTAATATTCTCTCAGTAAAAATTTACCCAAGGTTGATGCAGTTTCAGTTACGGTTTGGAATGGACAGGAGGTTGGGTGACTCATGTTAGTCCTGGTATTGATAGTCTGTCAGACGATTCAAGTTTCTTTAGAAAGCGTTGACAAATGGAGCTTCAATCATATGTTAAGTTAGTGAATTCCATTCTATAATGATTAGTTGGGGAAGTTGATAATCAGTTGACAAGTAATTTGTTCTAGGCCTGTAAACTTTCTTAGAGTGTCCTCGTTAGCTCTCTGTTTTGGGGGACTAGAAAAGTGAGGGCACATCAAATGAAGATTTTTCACCAAGCAATTGGAAAAATGTGATCAAGTCGCCTCTAGTTATTCCATATGATAATGAAAATAAACGTAGTTTAGCCACTCTAGCGTCGTACGGGAGTTTAGCTATTCCTGGAAAGTCCATTTTTAGGCAAGGGCTAGCCGCTTGTGTGTATAACTGGAGTTTAGGAAGCACGAATACCGTATGCAAAGTCAAAGGGCTTTCGGCATCGACGTGCATATAGGCCTCACGTATTAACCACAGGGATCTAAATCCCTTGGTGGCTATTGCACAACAATATGCAGGAGTTTTTAGGTATTGGATAACGATGACTCCCAAGCCATTACGTGTCTGAACAACAGATAACTCAATATTATTCACCGTGTTGATTAACATGAACGTCGATGAACAATATGCACCACAATGCACTTGAAGCATTTATCGACAACTGTTACATCTGAGACCAGCCAGATAATTTCTCCTAGATATTTTGAAGCTCTAAATTATCGCTTTCATTTTTTATCTGTCTTTATATCTTTATATCATCAGCATATAATAAAACCGTTAATGAAAGAAAACTAGGCAGTTCATTTAGAAACAAGAGAAGGGACACTAGCCCAGAAACTGTACTCTGAGTCATTGAGCTAAGCACTGTTTTCCAGAAAGACAACTTGAAGTTAACTAGTACTCTTTGTTGATGTCCAAATGGGAAATCCCTTATCCACGCAAGTAAACTGTCTCCATTCTTGGTACCACTTAATGTAGATAACAGCTCAATATGTGGAACTTTGACAGAGCCTTGCTGAAGTCAGAAAAGGCTACATCGCCTTAAAATGATGTTGTGGCACAACTTTCTTCCGATAACGCTATAATGCCACCTATGTTCGCAGTTCTTTGTTTCATGTACGGATAAAAATTTCCAAGATATTTTTAGATTCACTAGACTTTTCAGTTCCTCTCTAGCTACTACAGTGGACGATTATAGCTTTATTGTCCGATCTACTGAAGGGATTGAGTGTAGAACTTTTTGTATATTCGCCTTCCGAACGATATTTTTTGTTTTAAGTGATACACTGTTGTTGACAACTATACTGAAATGAAAGACTAGAACTGCATGGTCATTTTTACCTAGAGGTGGCATATGGCCAGGGTTCGTGAAATCATCCTAGTAATGGTGTAATGTGAGATCTAGCAAGTATAGTTCGGGTTAAGCCTGTCTGGCAAGACCTAATTCACCTCACAGTTCGAAGTGAAGTAGACTAGACCGATTAACAGCTCTTGTTTTTGCATTCCGAGCGTCAACTAATTGATTATCAAGTTCCACTTTCAAGGGATATGTTACTGATAACAGTTATATGAGTACTATTTCTGATGAATAAAACTACTCCTCATCCTTTAGGCTCCTGGGTTCTGTCGGCTCGGACTAATATGAAGTTTCTGAGATCAAGTTCCTTGTTATCTACGAATCGTGTTGGCCGATATTCTGTGACTGCGGTTACATCCTGCTAAGATGGCTCGTTGAGTAAGTTCTACGCAATAGTGTAGCAGATCAGAAAACCATTTA